AAAAAAACCCCACCCTGGGCAATATTTCCCTTGAAACTGCGGTTTTAGATATGGTGTTTCTGGAAAACGCCAATCACCTGTTTTTAAAATTTTAAAAGTTTAATAGTAATAAAATGGCTATAAAAATAGAAATATAATTAGAGTAATAAAAATTTTGGACAATCTGGATTAGGACGATATGAGACAATAGAAACAAAGAGTTACGGACGTCCGGGTACCTTTTTCTGGGCAGCACAAACCTGAAAAAGGACACCCGTTAACAGAGGATTAACTCTTAAAAACAATAGCCTGTTGCATATTCATACACTTCATACATGATGCATAAATTCCATTCAAACACAGAATTCTGTCTGGTCAGTGTCAGCTTCTTCCTCTGAATCCGAACAGCGCCTTCGAGGCTGAGCAAGGCGGGAAGAAGTTCATTTCCTCTGATAAGAGAGCAATAAATTCCCTTTCTCTGAAAGATCTAGGTGTCCTGTGGCTGCTATCTCGCTGTGAGTCCTTTCTTTTAAAAAAGTATCCTACATAGCATAGTTTCTACTGTAACATTATGTTATAACATAAAACTACATTTAACATACTACTTAAGAAAATTAATACAACCTAACTTTCTAACACAACACATATAATATTCATTTTCATTTAATTGCAAAAAGCCAATCATAAAATATACATTTTTCACATGTTCTAAAATAATCTCTTGTACCCTCCAATTTTTTTTGGTGTGTGTTTCTCTGCAAAACCTGTGACATAGGTTCATGCATTCATATTGTGATGTCAAGCAATAAGTGCATTGTTGAAATACTCCTACAATTCTGGGCATTATTTCCCTTGAAGCTGGAGTTTTAGATATTGTGTTAGAAGGCGTTGCAGAATTGTAAGCACCAATTCTGCCTCTTGTTTCTGTTCGATGCTTGGTTTCCTGAGGAAAAATAACGTGGAAGATCTATAAGGGAAGTGGTTTTGTGCTTTTTTTTGGATACTTGCCAGAAAAGCATACTTCAAGTGTTAGCTCTTGAGCTATAGAATGCCAACAGTGCGTCCTCCACTGGTTCTGTGCAGTGCTTTGGGACATTTTCTGATGTCCAGCTACATTAATTAATTTATAATCATTAGTAAGTGGGAAAAGCTGTGGCTGTAGATCCAGAGAATTTGAAAGTTCCTAATCTATTCAAGCAATTCTTTAGAATTGTTCCTTCAGTCTGACACATAGAGATTATTTGCATTATGACAATATGCAACCTCTCAGATTTCACAATTAGATTTGGACCAGCTGCTCTCTCTCTGCTGCTTTTGGTGGACTCATGCACTGATCAGTGGCAATCTTGGGGCTGGAGACCCCTCCAGCTTGGAAAACACTCGTGTAGAGCCATTTAAAATGCTAGCATGGCTTCCAAACTAGACAAGTGGTGAAGGCCCAGATCTTTGTCTGTTCTTTTTTATTTTTAAATTGAGAAGTCACAGGTAATTAAAAATAAAACAAAACTCCACACCCCATAAAATAACAAACAACAACAAAAAAAACCCCCAAGCCCCTGAGAGTTCCAGTATTTACCTTTCCTTTAGATGACATTTAACCCTGTGCTTTCTGGATCTAGTAAGAACAGTTCTCTATCCCTTTGCTTTCTTAGGCTGAGTATCAATGCATTTGTAGGTGTGTGACCTAAATGACTAACCATGAAGAAAATTATTTCTTAGTAACATTTAATACTTGAACTATTTGTCTACATTTCTCATCAGAGGCAGCCACAGGATGGAGGCTGGTGAACTTCTCCAGAATTCCTCATTGCAGTGGCTACCCTTATAGCAGGGGCTCTCAGGAATTACTGAGCTGAGCCTGCCCTTCTGAGCCCAAAATCTGAGCCCTGCAGGTGCAAGTGCTGGAAATGTTGTATCTAAGTAGTTGTTGTTATTTCACACTTCAGGCTTGAACGGCTGAGAAACCTCGAACTCCAGATCCTCTTTCCTATGGGAAGACAAACACCAAAAGCCAAAACCAAACCAAAATAAAACATCAAAGGTTACTGGTGTTTGATTCCTTTCCACAGGAGAGCTGAGCACCAACATATCCCCAGCCAGGCTTTGAAGCTTGGTTTGTTGCCAGCCTTTGGTGTCAGCTCTGCCAGCCTGGACTCTGCATTTTGTCTTTGCAGGGAATAGGGATGATTCTCCTGTTTTTCCTGGCACATGGCTGTAAACACTCTGAGTCCCATTTTTAAACCTTCCTGGGTAACAAAGATGCAGCTGGGAGCTTACACAGCCCGGGAGGAGCCCCAGGAGGAGGAAGGGCCCTTAGTCTGGTTTGTGTGTGTGTGTGTGTGGATGTTGCTCACTTCTCCACCATTCCCGCTGAGTGCCTGCAGTCCTGTTCCCACAGTCACTTCTGAAACTCACTGACAGCTTCTGGAGTTTTGCTGCCGGCTGATTCCCAGAGACTTGCCAGTATGTTGCCAAAAGCATCAGCATAAATGAAACTCTCTGGCACTGTTTTTGTAGTCTTAGGGAGTAGGCATTAGTTTATTCCAGGCTGGGGTGCTCCACCAAGATGCACATGACTTGCAAAACTTTTCACTTATTTATACATCTTTAGCAAAGAAGTTAGTATTCATTGGTTCTAAATTTCACAATTATTTGCATCAATTATTATTTTATCTTCTATTGGTTATTGATTTCTCACTTTTCATGCTAATTAATCTACATCTTTTAGTTTTCTTATTATCTTTTTCCCTGACAGGGGGTCTCCAGAACATGTTGAATCACCTTTGTTAGTCTCTTCTTTATCTTCTGATTACTTCTACGTGTCCTTGGCAGGCTATAACTTCTGGATTCCAGATGTCCAGCCTTTAACTCCCGAGGGCTTTTTTCATTGAAGCTTATCAGGGTTAGTTCATCATAGCTTAAAATTTTTGGGGATCGAATAATCACACTCTAACAATAACAGTCAGTAGGAAAAAAACTTAGGTACATGCTGGCTAAAACGGAAAATTACACCGCTAAAGACTAATACACTACTTATAGTTTTTAAAACAATTAATCAATAAGTTAATTAAAACCAATAATTAGGAAAGTTGTCTCATTTCCAACAAGTACAGGATGGTGCAATGTGATCTGGGGCTGGCTCATTCTGATTTACTGGAGTAAAACCTGCTGCTTGTCTTTGGAGCCTGAAACCTGTGTCCTGTGCTGCTAGACAGATTCCCAGGAGCGAGGGGAGCCACAGAAGAAGGGGCTGCAGCACCACAGGGAGTACAGGGAGCAGCACAGACTGGTAAAATAAACAAGGCAACACCCTGGCATCCATCCCCAGGGAACCCCACGGCAAAAGGATTTGAAATAGCAAAATGAAGGAAATGTTTATATTTGGACTGGAAAGGAAAGGAGCTTCCATACAACAGCAAGTTAAACCTGGCTCAGTCCCCAGGCTTGAAGGGTTTGCAGTTTCAAGCTTATTCTTCAGCATTCTTGGGAAAAAATTATAAAATCCCACGGGCTGGAGGAAGAAGGATCCATCTCCATACTCCCCACCCACCGAGTGAGGGGCTGGGTTCTTGCCAAAGGGAAGAAAGTGAGTGCCTGGGTTTTTTCCAAATCAATGCTGCATTTGGAAGATGAAGGAAGCAAACAAATTTGGCTTTAACTAACAAAAAAACAGATTATGACTTAATAAGGAAAACCATAATTTAATAAATAAAAAAACCCATAATAAATAGTAAACCTTATAATAAAACATACTATAAAACATAAAAACACATTATAAAACATAATCAACCCAAACCGTCTTACATCCATTATTCAAAACACAATTACATAAATTAAGTAGAAAAAAGAAAATAAATGTTAAAAAAACAGGGCAGGTGACATCTGGAATGTGACACATGGCTATAAGTTTATGACAAAAGCAGATAGTAAAGCTCATTCATTTCCTTGTTCCATCCTTAAGTTCTGTTAGCCCCAAAATTCTTCTTTAAGTCTTGGCAAAAGACACTTCCTTGTCCTGCAGGTGATGGCTTCTGACAGAAGTGTTCCTTCCTCTCATTGTGGCAGTCATCCTGGAAGTGAGAAAACAACCCAATTC